CCCCCCCCCCCCAAAATAAAATAAAATAATAATATTGTTTAATGCGTCCAGCATAACAACTCCCCACCTTGCACTTGCCCCTCCCTGCCCAATTCCCATCTCTAGAGGTCTTGATATACAGAGGCCTCTGTGATTGATATTGCTTGATGATTATCTATCTGGTTTCAGCTGTATCAGTTCTCTTATGTACCTTGAGAAATAGTTATTGGGAGCATGTAACTTATTGTGACAAGCTTCACTCTCTGTGTAGAAAGGCGATCATCTACATGGTTATAATGCCGAAGAGGTTAAGGTATGGTGTCTCCCTTATTTTCTCTAAACAACATTCAGAATGTGAAAACTGATGACATCTTCGTCAGCTTCCAGTTAATAGCTCTACTTGTGAGACACCATAGAAAGAAACTTCCTGAATGTGATCATGTGGTGCCTGAGGAATTAACAGAAGAGGTATCATATTGTTATTTTTTGTGTGCTATACAAACTAATACTCACTGACTCCATTATTGGTGTGTATCTGGTATGCATGAATTCAGTTTTAGCAAGCTTTTTGTACTTTGGAGGTTCTGCACAAGTACCACCATCCCTGAATGGATACTTTCAATTTCCAAAATTTCTTAAATGTATTTTATAGATTTGCACGACGTACCGATACACTTCATTAAATTGACATGGATAGGACAAATGAAGATAGCATGTCAGCATAGATCAAGACTCTTATGTGTGTTTAACTATTATCTTTATACCTTAGATGAGAGGGAAATTCAGAATTCTTTGTGCAATTCTACGTGTATCTGCTGCACTGGAGAAACTTCAGCTGGTCAACATCCACAATGTGGATTTCTCACATACCTGTGAAGGATATAAATTGGTATTTAACCTTTACATGCATCTTTATGTTTCTCTTCCTTATATCTTGGAGCAACCTATGTGATTCCGTTCAGTTGATCTCTTGTGGTATAATTTTATTTAACAGAGGTGAATCTAGGATTTAGTTTCCCCATAACATGTGACTGGAGTTTTGGAAAATTGTTCCTTGCTCCACTTGTCGTACCTTTTCCTGTAATACCTGTTGCTACATGGACACAACTTGCTCAGCAGTCATTTATCAGCATTAAAGGCTTCGATTCGTTACCAGCAGTGAAAGCTTGATATTTGTGGCAATGCAACTATGTTGACCGAAAAATCTCACCCAGATTGGTACACCATCTCCCTGAGATCGATTTGGATTCTAGCAAGAACGGGATTGGTTGTTCACCTCATGCGCATCCTTACACACCTTAAATTCATCTAGTACCTGGCTTTGTGTTCCAGCTCCATTTATCTTCCACAGATGCTTCCCATCACATGGAACACGCCTTCCGGACCACTTGTGGTAGATTAAGCAATCTAATCAAAATATGTTCTGGCTTCGGTTCTTCTTGATGGAAAGCAATGTGGGGACCAACATTCTAGGGTCATTTTGCATTATTCCCATATCTGCTCACCCATCTGGACCTTCTAGCCACTTCCCTTTGTAGGAATGTGAACAAGAAATACATTTTCATACAATGGCAGCTACCTCTTTAGTCTATTTTATTACATCAGAGTTCCAAGCACACTGTCATTGCCACTGTAACATCTCAACATTTCAAACCGGATGTCTAAATATCTGATGAGGAATTCCTTTTTGGGTTTTATCTATTTTCAATTTCACACACATGAAACAACTAAGCTCCTTGGATATCTGTTGGAACCCAGCTTGACCTTCACCCCTGTTTTTGGCCATCTCCTTATTTCCAGTGTGGAGGTAAGAGGCGGTTCTTGTCCCTCCACAAAACTTTTCTCTTGAAACTTCTGTGTTTTCCCGTGAGATCAGATCATTGAACACTCTATGCTTATAACCCCACTTCTTTTCATAACTTGTACAACCTTAGTTTGCATATCCTCCATATCCGTTAATGTTCTGACGACAATGCACTCTTACAATTAATTAGTTCTTCCATCTTCTACAAGGTTCACTGGTTTCTTCAAAATTTAATGGAAAATTTGACAAATCCACAGGAGCCTATGGGAATTATTGCTAATATCTTAAAAATTCTCCTCTCCACCCTTTCATACCAACAGACTTTTTCTGAACAAGACAGGCCCTTCTTTCTATTCTTCAATCAGAATACCATTTCCATGCAATCGTCTTTCACATTGCCAAACACTTAGCTTAAGTTACTGAATGTTGGAACTAACATTCTGCACATGAAATGAGTCACAGGGGACCAAAAGAGTAGAGAAGATGCCCATCTGAGCTCTTTGTTGTGATGGTGATCTTTAATGATGATTGATAAATACTCTTCTGTTCATTGTTTCGGCATTAAATACTTTATTGGGTACATCACTTTTTAGCCCTCTTACCCAAGTTCAGTTTAGGCTTGGACATTCAATTTGGATGATTTTGTAAGAATTAACTTACCTGATTAGAAGATCTTTTTTCTCATGTGCTGTAGCCTTTATGTTTTCATGTAAATCAATTTGAGCTGGGACTAATATTAGATAATCAGATTGTTTGTAGAAGTAAATGCATGCTTTTCATCCTGCCATTCTCTTGGGATGAAACATGCACCAATCTTGTAGCTCATCCTCTCTCTTTTTCTTCTTTTAAAAATAAATAAATTTTTGTACTTGTAGCTCATTAGCTAACGGATATAAAAGTATTTTTTTTTGTACTTTCAAGTTTAAACATTTGCATTGTCCCATCATTTACACCTCAAAAGCTGTAGGTACTTGAAGCAGGAAATTTGCCCTTCCCTGGTTATGTGCTGCCATCAGTGAAAGACCTCGAGACTGAGCATGTTAAAGAGTTGGAGCACTTCAGAATGGTAATGGTTTTGCATTGATGCCATGCTGGCATACTTTTGCTGCAGGCTATGCAGTCTTAGTTCTCTTTTTTTCATTTTTCGATAGGTGGTCATGCCTGATGTTCATTATATCACATGTTATTCATTTTTTCAGGTGTTCCAGGAAAGATTGTCAATTGCTGTCACTTCATCATAATCTGTAAGAAATGCTAGGAATTGTGAGACGCCTTTCCTGAGTTTGCCAAGAAAATGATGGTAAAATATTGTATGGATATCTGTTGGAACCCAGCTTGACCTTCACCCCTGTTTTTGGCCATCTCCTTATTTCCAGTGTGGAGGTAAGAGGCGGTTCTTGTCCCTCCACAAAACTTTTCTCTTGAAACTTCTGTGTTTTCCCGTGAGATCAGATCATTGAACACTCTATGCTTATAACCCCACTTCTTTTCATAACTTGTACAACCTTAGTTTGCATATCCTCCATATCCGTTAATGTTCTGACGACAATGCACTCTTACAATTAATTAGTTCTTCCATCTTCTACAAGGTTCACTGGTTTGTTCAAAATTTAATGGAAAATTTGACAAATCCACAGGAGCCTATGGGAATTATTGCTAATATCTTAAAAATTCTCCTCTCCACCCTTTCATACCAACAGACTTTTTCTGAACAAGACAGGCCCTTCTTTCTATTCTTCAATCAGAATACCATTTCCATGCAATCGTCTTTCACATTGCCAAACACTTAGCTTAAGTTACTGAATGTTGGAACTAACATTCTGCACATGAAATGAGTCACAGGGGACCAAAAGAGTAGAGAAGATGCCCATCTGAGCTCTTTGTTGTGATGGTGATCTTTAATGATGATTGATAAATACTCTTCTGTTCATTGTTTCGGCATTAAATACTTTATTGGGTACATCACTTTTTAGCCCTCTTACCCAAGTTCAGTTTAGGCTTGGACATTCAATTTGGATGATTTTGTAAGAATTAACTTACCTGATTAGAAGATCTTTTTTCTCATGTGCTGTAGCCTTTATGTTTTCATGTAAATCAATTTGAGCTGGGACTAATATTAGATAATCAGATTGTTTGTAGAAGTAAATGCATGCTTTTCATCCTGCCATTCTCTTGGGATGAAACATGCACCAATCTTGTAGCTCATCCTCTCTCTTTTTCTTCTTTTAAAAATAAATAAATTTTTGTACTTGTAGCTCATTAGCTAACGGATATAAAAGTATTTTTTTTTGTACTTTCAAGTTTAAACATTTGCATTGTCCCATCATTTACACCTCAAAAGCTGTAGGTACTTGAAGCAGGAAATTTGCCCTTCCCTGGTTATGTGCTGCCATCAGTGAAAGACCTCGAGACTGAGCATGTTAAAGAGTTGGAGCACTTCAGAATGGTAATGGTTTTGCATTGATGCCATGCTGGCATACTTTTGCTGCAGGCTATGCAGTCTTAGTTCTCTTTTTTTCATTTTTCGATAGGTGGTCATGCCTGATGTTCATTATATCACATGTTATTCATTTTTTCAGGTGTTCCAGGAAAGATTGTCAATTGCTGTCACTTCATCATAATCTGTAAGAAATGCTAGGAATTGTGAGACGCCTTTCCTGAGTTTGCCAAGAAAATGATGGTAGAATATTGTATTATGTAAAAGCCATGCTGTAATGCATGTTATATGCACACACATACAAGCACAACCCCCCC